ATTGTGTCAGTGGATTAACTGGAAAAAGAGCATGAATGAAGGAACTTTTGGGGTTGATTGGAAATATTCCAGTTTATAGTAGTGTGTGTTAAAAAAAAAGGTATGTCCATTTATCAAAGTTCATCAAATAGTTAAGATTTATGAATTTCAATGTATACAAATATCTCAAAAAAACTTTAAATAAACAAATGAAAATGCTAAAAATCTATATAATTGCAAATAAATCTAAAAGATCTAATTTTTGCAGACGATAGTACCCTTGGTGATAAAATGTGACCTTCTAAGATGGTTCCTCCAGAACAACTGCAGGAAAACCCATTCCTCAGTATAAAAATATAGTTTCTTCTTGGAATATAATGGTCAGGAAAGGAATTTCTAGTTCCAATATAAGCTTAAAATGGCAGAAGAAAATTGTGGTTACACATGTAATAAATCCACAACTTCTAGGACAGAAAAGTGTAAATAGAAAATCATATTTATACCACAGAAGTTTATTTTTAGTACAGGTTAATTCATCTCTCTATCCTCTACTTTCCTTTACAGAAGAAAGATGGATATTTCAAAAATTTGCTCAAATGGAATAAGAAAGTTCTTGTTCTTCCAAAGTCAACTAGGGGTTTTCTTTGTTTCTCTAAGTAATAAGGACTAAATTTCCATTTATTATAAAGATAAAGGGATTATCATTGAGGTGCGATATTGTCAGAAATTCAACAATAAGGAAATGCAAGAATGCCATGTATTTTCCATAGTCAAATGAAACAATGCTATTTAGACTTCATTTCTTTGTAAGTTGTTTTTGTATACAGCATGGCTATATTTAATATTAATTATGGTTTTCACGTCAACTTTATATTCAGCCTACATCTATATTCTCTCTTCAGTCCTTATTTTTAGCCAAATAACCTGCCCGCCCCCCGACTCTTTTTGCTCTCTGCTCCATATATTGGGTAGTTGTTTTTGTTTTTGTTTTTTTTTTGAAGTTTCCCAAATAATCAGAAGGCTCTGCATTTATGAAATGACCTAAAAGCTTGTGGATAACAAAACTGAAGACTAAGCACTTAATTAGAGACAATAGACTCAACTCTGGTTCTAAAAGAGAATAAGTAGACCTGCAAAAATTCAAATCCAGGAGACACAAAGCAAGCCATTTTTTAAAATATTGGTCCTTCTCAATATTTAGTTTAGTTTACTCAAGTTTATTTTATAAACAAAAGATACTTTTTTTTTTCTTCTGAACCAAATGAATGAATCAATTCATATCGATAGTGCCCTCACTCTTTACACTACCCTTTTTTTGTCTTCTTGGGGAACCCAAAATAATAAAGGAAAGGCATGGGCTTTCTAGACAGAGATCTGGCAGAATCTGGAATCTACTATGTTGGAAAAGTTCTTTCATCTTAATAAGCTACAGTTATCTTACCTGTAATTAATAATGCTGACTTTTAAGACTGTTTTATATTTTACACACACGCACACACACAAAGAGGTCTGCATGTAAGGCACAGTGCTTGGCACAGACAAAGTACTAGATAAACTGGAATTGGTAAGTCGGGATGATGAATCAAATGACAATTTGTACATCAGAGTCTTTCCCTCAAGTCATGAGCAGTGTTATTATCTATTTCATTTGGCCCTCAAGATTTATGGATACACTGAATAGTACAAAATGACTATCTTCTCCATTGAAATTCTAAACCCATCATTTGGAATACTTACCAAATGCTATTCCTAGTTATTTAATTACAAAAGAAATACTTATATCAAAGACTATCAGTATATTATTTTAATAGTCACTATAAAAATCAATTATTATCCCTCATTGTGCATCAACTCAAAGAGCAATATCCTTCAGAAAATATGCATATATCAAAGACAATTACCTTGACCAGAACATCAAGATATAAGCATATCAAATCCTTTTAAAAGACATTATATCATTTTTAAAAAGATTCTTTTGATTTAAGAAAACATGTAAGTAAATTAGGACATCAGTAATTAAAGGGCTTGTTTTATTTTGCATCAACAAATGGATTAAATATTTTTAAATGTAGAAAAGAATCTCTTAGGATGATGCAATTATAAAGTTTTGCTTGCCACTCATTTTCCAGAAACCTAAAATGATAATGAAGTTCAGTCTTTAAATGGGGGAAAAAAAAGAAATGTCAGCTATTACTTTTGTTGCATTTTCATATATCGAAGTCACCTGGAATATGATTATGATTCAGAAGTAAGGGACATTACTTGCCACTTAAAAAATATGTATACTTTTTATAAACTATGGTTACAGTTTTTATTCTTCTTATCATTATATATGTTTGCAAATCTGACAATAATAAAGAGAGAGTCACCATAACAACAGTTTACCCATTAAATTGAATCAATTAATGGGCTTTAATTAAATATACTACAAAAAACAGTCTTTGATTTCTTAAAATATACATATCATTCATGATAGCACCTGGGTGTCTACATTGTTAAATTTCAAAAATCTAGTCCAATGAATAGAGTACACAATAAATATGAAAATAACTCCATCCAGAAACAAATTAATTTTATTATCTATTTTTAGATTATTTCTTCATTAAAGTGCTGAGTAAAATAGGTAATTACAGTGCCTACTACATAGTTAATATAAAATTATTTAAAATATTTCCTAAGTCATTAATTTCATTCAATTTTGTAACATTTTAATGACTCTTCTGTACATTCTAAGTAACGCATATGAAAATAAAAATCAAGGTGCAGCGTGGTTAATTTTTTAATAATTTATTTTGACAGAAAGACTTCAGTGCCTATATGGGGCTGACTTAAATATTAACAATCTACTTTTAAAGTCTATTGTCAATGTTTACTTATAATCGAATATGATTAATTTAGCCAATTGGCTCCTGGCAGTATCTCCAGTAATGGAAAATTATCAGAAGGCAATATATCTTGATTGCAACAGCCTGTACCTTTATTGTCTGTCCAGATTCTTTTCATATCAGGTCTGTAATGAAAAGCTAAGTCACAAACAGAGGTATTAGGAAATACACAATGGGGCCGCTCTCTCTGGAACAAATCAAAATTTCAATAACTCATAAGGTAATTTGAGGGCTTCTATTATATAATTTTTCAACAAACAATTAAATTCTACAGATTTTTTTTCATTTAACAGTCCAGTCAGTGTATATCTTAATATACATAACCCATAAAATAGACTAAAAGCAAATAGATGCATATGTTGAAAGTCCTTGATTCATGAAGAAAATCGTTGGAAAACGTTTAAGCAAGAATTAAAGTCAAGTATTCATACCGTTGAATTTGGCAGCAGAGATGAGTTCTCAAGAGAGAGAACTCGTCCCAAATGGTGTGTACCATTCTCCTCTCAACCCCATTCATAAAGTGCCTTTCTGTTACGCAATAGGATCACTCTACTTGGTTAATGAAACACAGGCTGATGTTTAGCGTTCACTGGTTGTACATACAAACAAGAAAGCATCACTCATCTCTACTTAAAAACAAAACTTAATCAAGATGCTTAGGCACAGGAACCGGAGTCGAAGGAAGCAAACAACAAATGGGCACATCACTCAAGAAAGCTCAGAACGGGGTCTCTGAAACGCGGGAGTAAACCAGTTGTGCATACAGCGATAAAAGGCTGGACACCTCTGGGATGAGCCAAGCCCCATCGTGCTTGCTATTTTCCGCTGATACGATTAGGGCCCTAATTGAAGAAAGGGGACTTTGAGGACTCAAACATTGGCTTCTCCTTTCTTAATGTGAATTCGCTCTATCCCGACTCCAGCAGAGAGCTCCAAACCCGGAATCTATCTTTAAGTCCGTGCGTTTGCACCGCTTTCACAAACCAGGAAAGCCAGGAGGGAAGATCAATGCCAATACAATATTGCACGTTTCCCTGACTTTTGTTTGCTCGGAATAACATTTTAGACAGACAGTCTCACCCTTCTTGTGGAACCTGGGAAGATAATAAATACCCTATCCCTCATCCATACTGCCCCAATTACAGCTCCACGAAGCGTAGTGAAACCCAACTCTGTCCCCAAGACCTAGTCAGAGCCTCATCTTCGCGGGTGGCCGTCTGGACCTTCCCTTAGATCAGAAACAGTTTGTGCTTGGACCGAGGGTGAGAGCATCTCTCTCGATTCCTCTCGAGGCCATACTTTCTGTATAGACCCACCTGCATGGGAGCTTCGTGTCTCATTGTTCTCAAAATGTCCTTTCTGTCTGGCTAAGACAGCGCCGGCCGCGGCGCCGGGTCAAGCTTGCACAGTCCGCGCGCTCCACGCTCTGCACTCTTTGGCTTCGCTAACCGGCTCCAATATCAGCACTGGAGCTGTCCCCTTCTGGCGCCGCACACGCGTACTGGCTGGGAGACCCTTGTGCTCCTGGGAGTTGTAGTTTAGTCTAACCCGAGCTTCACTGTAAACCCACGAGCCGTGAACTACAACTCCCGGCAAGCCAGTATTTAAACAGAGTGCCTACTCCAGTCGGAATCGGCCGCGGAGCCTCCTTTCGCCTTTGGAATCGCTTCTGGTTATTACTCTTTCCAGCTTTCTAGCCTATTTTCTCACAAGGTGCAGGCAAAAGTGACCCCAGCTCTTCTCAGCGGGAGATTTTTTTGTTTTCTACCTATCACATTCCAAAACTAGATTGTGATTTCCATGTTAGGAAACGCACTTACCTTGTGCTAATTACCGATACAAACGAACACTGCGCTGTGTTCTGGGGCTCTCCGCCCTACACCTCCCCATCCAGAATCGGGAAAGTTTATATATCTCCATAGGCAGAGTGGGTGGTTTTACAATCACATTAAACAAACATGGGGAAGAAAGACGATGAATACCACACGCATAAAGTGGCTTACTCGCACAATTGCATTAAGAAGGCGCGCGCGCGTTCACACACACACACACACACACACACACACACACACACACCCTAAAGTCGGTCAAATCGAGGTTTTGTGCAGAGCATGTAAAGGGACTCCCTCTACTTACCTTTCCGTATAGCTCCATTGCAAGTTGAGTTTCCAAAATTCTCAGTAATCCCTCCTACGAATGAGGTTAGGGTCTTACGCAGGAAGCGGGGCTAAACCCACAACAATAGAAGGGGTGGAGGTTGCGACTGGCGGAGGGAAAAATAAGGAATGTGGCGAACAGCTGACTTAGATAAATAGCTTCTTTCCTCGGGAGGGAAAGCGTGGAGTCTTTAAGTGGCAGCTGCAGAGAAAGAGCTGAGAGTCTCTTAGGAAGTGCCAGGAGCGCGATCGTGCTGGGTAGCCCCTCCCAAATCCTCCCCCAGGCACCTTCCACCGTCATTAGCGCGCACACACAGCCGCTGCTGGCCCAGGGCCGGAGAGCTGATAGGGCACTGGTTATTTACCCAAAGCAAGTCACATAAAATGAACACATTCATCACCAGAGCCCAGAAGCACCGTCGCAGAATGAGATAGGGGACCCCTATTAAGTTATCCTGTCCTTTCTTTAACACAGAGTCATTCCTTACATTATAATCGTACTCCTCCCAGACTACTTCAAAAATGGTTTTGAAATCTCCGAACTGTCCTTTTATTACATTTATCTTCTCCCCTCAGTTGACTGATTCGTGTGAATTATTCTCTATACCCATTTACAGATACTCCTCTCTCCTTAAGAGTGAACGTTAATCAGTCCAGTAATTACCCTGCCTTTGGCAAGTCAAAATGTTTATTACTGGAGGCAGAGTGGAAAAGGAATGAACTTCATATTAGTACAGAGACATGGAAGTAATAACTTGAATCAGCTTGAAACTTCATTGTATTAGACAAGGCAGTAGAACGAAGGTTCTGAAACTTATATGTGCTTTAAAAAATTTTAGGGAAGGTTTCTTTTTCTCTTTTTTATTTTTTAAGTAATGCCTTTTATCGGTGGTTTTTATCCTGAGAGGGGTTAAAATAAATATTCTCAAAGCCTCTGTAGAAATTCTGATTTCACTAGATGTGATGATGAGGCGTCTGGAAATTATCATTTTAACAAACACTCCAGCAATCCTGATGTAAGTGGTCCTATGCCACAATTCAAGAAACTCTGCCTTAAAAGAATTTATATGTAAGAGTTTTTCAAAGATAGAAACCTTAACAATTTCACAGATCGACTCAATAATGTAACAACAATATATTGAGGACCTACCATGTCCCATTAATTTTAGGGTTTTGTATTTGTCTTTGTTTTAAGAAATCTAAGATCTGCCTTTTAATCTTGCAATCAGTGAAAATGTAATGTGATATCAATCTAGATAAATATTTTTATAACTACTCAGAAAATACATTTTAAAGTGCTCCTCTCAGCTGGGATTATGTGATGGTTAGGACAACTGCATCTAAATTAGCTAACAACAAAATTAAAAGGTAAAAAGTAATCCGATATCAGTATGCTTCATGTCAACAGCTTATTAGAAATAAGACTTCTGCAATTTTTTTAAAAGGTCTATGTAAAGGTGCACCTCTTTATAATTTTTTTCCAGAGGAAGTACCAAAAAATAATACACTTATATGCATATAACTATTTGGCATATATATATATATATATATTGCATATAAGTGTATATATATATATAAATTTTTAGGCGAGGCAACCCTTGGTTGACCTCACAGATTGCAAGGACCTTGTCAGCTTACAATCCCTTATTTTTAATTTTTTTAATTAATTAATTTTTTTTTACACCTACAGCACCTGGTCTTCCTAGATGGTCTCCCATCCAAGTACTAACCAGGCCCGCCACTGCTATTTGGCATTTAATAATAAAAAATCGCACAGCTACTTAGAGCTGTCTTTCTTTAGAAGAATTTCCTGTAATTTTTGTACTAGCATCACCTGAAATTCTCAGAGTTCAAGGAGTCTGCTCTCAGAGAACATATCTGAATATTACAAATGTTAAATAGTAATGGATTTACTATGCTTTGAGAAGTCCATCCTTTTTTGACATTTTACTAACATGATATATACCTCCTCAGTTTTCCAGTATGTCTCTTACTTATAGAAGAACTGAGTTTTTGGGGTAAAAAAAAAAATTTTAGAGTTGCAAAAGTTTTTGGAAAACTTAGTTCTGTCATGTTTCTCATGTCTTTTTTGGATATTTAAGTGGGTAGAGGGAGTAAAAAAAAAAAAACCCTAGGCAGGGATCAACTAAACAAACAAGATAGACTGTAACTGATTATCTCTCTAAAGTCAGAACAAGACTACTTTAGCTTCATTTGAAATCATACCACCATCTGAGAGTTTCACTCCCAAGGTCACCAGATGACTGCTGGAGCTCCAGCTCTTACATCCACATTCTAGGCGGCAAGAAGGAACAAATGATGAAGGATATTCCCCCATCTTTTTAAGTGCACCAGTGCTCTTATATTACAGTGCCTAGAAGTTAAACTTATTGTCATACCTAGTTGCGAAGGAGGATGGGAAATGTAGTCCTTATTTTGGGAGAGTATATGCCCAGCTGAAAATCAGCAATTCTGTTACAAAAGAAGAGAATAGGTATTGGGAGACAGCTGGTAGTCTCTACCACAGAGCATTAGGGGGACTATAAGATACAGCTTGCTGCTTTTTCCCGTTTGCAATTTTACTGAAATGTAAATGTCTAATTATTTTAAAATTTACTCATTCTCAAGGATCTCTGTAATTTAATAGCAATCAAAATCTTAAAAATTAAAGAACTACCCAAAAGTTAAAATACCCTGGATCTTACTGAGGAAACAGGGAAAGAAAGAAGTCTTCTCCACTTACATAATGAATCTGGGGTTAGTTGATATGAAAAAGATTTTAAATGGCAAGATATAGTTAACAGAAGATAGTGAATGATAGAGTCTATAACATAAGCACCTTCCATATTAGAATGTAGAGCAGGCTGAAAGGTCCTGAGTTTCAGAAAGGTCACTTACCTAGGGTCACATAGATCATTAGAGAAATAGCTGCGATGAGAACTCTTAAATGTTTTTCTTTAGGTTCAGTTTTCTTTTCATTGTTCCACATTGCTATTCATTGTTGATTGGCTTTTTGCTACCCTGTGTTTATCTAATATTTAGTAGTATTTATGGGGTTTTTATTTATCTAGTTTACTTATTATTCACTTTGTCGTTATCAGTCCATGTCTGTGTAAGCTCTATTAAACAGTAAACGTCTATCAAGTAGAGTCAAATGGGGATAATTTATTTGGCTAAAACAGAGCCAAGAAAAAAGATAGTTAATTTAGTGTTTATTAGTAATAGTGATGTTGGTTGAGTAAAAAATAGCAATAGACATTTTGTTTCCATTACTGTTACCATCTCCCTGTTAGTAATTACACTGAAAAATAAAATATCTGGGATTTGGTATAAGAGATAAGGAAGCCCCTGGGGATTCACTTACTCCCTTACACAAGCCTTACTCACATACACAGCGCAAGGATGTGGCTGGGTATCTAATCCCGGATATTTCTGAAACGAAGCAGGAGGTTTTTCTGACCCGAGCTCCGTCTGACTCATTGTATTAGTGCTGGCTTTGATTTCAACTTTGTGCAGCATTTGTATCAAGAAATGCTATTGATTTTCTCATGTTCCCTTTGGAAGAAATTAAACATCCCCATGATATTACTGATTTCTTTTTAATTAAAAGGAAAAATCATTTAACTCATTCCTGTTCATGAAGTTTCCAACCCAAATATAATCAATATAAGTAATGTGCTTTGTGAAAAATAAATAAATGTACTCCAGTTGAACGAAAAGAAAATGATACTTTCTCTTTATAATACAAATATGATACTTTTAATGATAGCCACTCTTTCTTCAATACCTACTCAGTGGTAGGCCCTTTGTATATATTATTCCATCTAATCCTCAATAATATTTCAAGATACTATACTTAACCTTATTTTCCAAAGAAGAAAATTAATGGAGAGGTTAAGTATTTTGCTTATAGACACCTAGCTAATAAGATGTTGGGCCAGGATTTAAAGCTCAAGGTTATCTGATTCCAAAGCCCAGACTCCTACCAATAATTTTTCTCATAAAAGGTAATGTTACTTCAAAAAAATGTTTTATAATCTCTTACAAAGAAGTTTTACCAGACTTCATTGCTGTTGACCTTGCTTGGGAACAAGGACGCTACACACAGTCCTCTCTTGGAATTGCTAGGTTATAATGTCTTTTTCATACAACACTTTTTCATTTAAAAACTGTCAGCATTTTCAGATAGATACTGATTCATTTGATGCATTAGAAATTACTAAGGAGCTTTGTATCAAATCAGATATTTGGTGAAGTATATATATATTATATTTCCAGCTCATAAAAGACAGTTTTAGATTAAACAGATTATAATTATACAAATTATGTGAAAAACAGAGTACTAAACAATAATCTCCACATTTCATACAGAGTATTTATTTAGCTACAGGTTTCAGATTGATAACCTTGGGTAAAGGTTATGTGACCTACATCTTTATTAAGCTATGGTGTACTTCCAAAGAGATAGCTATCATGATCTTTTTAAAAAATAATTACTCTTATAAATCTATTACAAATTTTGAAAACAATTTTATTATCAAAGCCCAACTTAACTATGTGTAATTTAGATAATATGCTTTCTACCTCTAGGCTTCTCACCTGAACAGAACAGAGATGCCCTAAATGACATCTCTTGGAAGAGTTGTAAGAGAGTGGAGTGTGTGTGTATGTGTTGCCGGTGGGGGTGGGAGGGTAGTGGTAGGGTGTGAGACAGAAAAGCATTCTGTTGGCCCCCAGCCAGAGTTCTTCTCATAGTCAGCCTGCATGCTTTCAGTAGCCAGGTACCTAGAGCTATGTGTTCACAGCTCTAAACTAAGGTTATACCTCGAAGCCAAGTACAGCTAGAAGAAGAATGAGGTTCATGACAAATATTTGTTCTGAACTTCCATAGCATTCAAAACATGTCAGATGAAAACACAAAGAAGGGACCTTACAGATAATCCAGCTCAGTCCTCCCATTTTGTGAATAAGAAATTAGATTCCAGAAAAATGAAATGCCTTACCTCAAGCCCCACAGGTCATTCGATACTGTTGAAGGGCTCTGACAAATATTGGGAAAAGACTGCTGTGAAAATATGTTCTAATTTATTAACGAACTCAATTTTATGTGTATCAATAATTTTCATTGAATTATTTTTAGATTTACAGATTATAATTTAAAATGAAGAGTCAAAAAAGTACTTCTGTCTTCATCCTCGAGGGGGCTCCAAACTCGTTCAGGAAACCAGAGATAGAAAACAGGTAATATAAT